CCTGTTTGTGATGTTGTCAGGTCCTGGGGCTTTTTTGGCGTTTGTTAGTTTTATTAGCTCTTTTATTTCTTCGGGAGATGAATGTGTTATTCCTACTCTGCCCTTTCTTCTCTTTAGTCTTCTGGCTGTTCTTTCTACCTCTTCTTCAAAGTCTATGTCTTCATTGGGATTTTCGTTATTTCTACATGCCCTTTCTAGTTCGTCCTTTAGGACTTCAGCTTTGTCTATTTCCGTGTGGACAATCCCGTTTACTCCATGTAAGGGAGGTATGGGTTTCTTGTCCTGTCGGAGGATTTTCGATAATTTCCAGAAGGCGGATTTGTTAGGGTCTAATTCTTGGATATAGTTGTCCCAGCTTTCATTTCTGTGATTTCGTAGTTGTCTTTTAACTTCCCTGTCTAGCTCATTTGCAATCCTTTTATCTTCTAATGTTCTAGTACGATAGGCTCTTCTTCTTTTTCTGTTTTTTTCTTTAATTAAGTCTTGTAGATCCTGACTTATATCTCCGAATCTTCCTTTTTGTCTTGTGATTGTTTCGGTTTTGGAGCTGGCATCGATAGCATTAATTATAGTTTCTTCTAGTTTGGTTACGCTGTCTTCTAGTTCTGTGATGTTGTTTATTGTTGGAATGTTACCGATGTTTTCGCTCACAATTCTTCTAAAGTTTGGCCAACTTGTTATCTTTCTTTTGTGGGGCTGCGAATAGTTTAGTTCTATTGCGCCCAGGGTCAAAACGATTAGATTGTGCGTCGAATCGCCTTCGTTTAGAGAGCGTATCTCGTATTGTTGACCCACGTTGTGTAGGATTGCAATGTCTAGATGTGTAGGGAGTTGTCCGTGAAAACAGGTCGGTTCTGTTGGTCCGATCACGTAGGTGTTTGGTCTATTTTCGAGATGGCTGCAAAGTCGTCTCCCATTATTGTTGGTCGCTCTATCGAACCAGTTGGGAGATCTCGCATTAAGGTCTCCTATGATTACCGTGGGCTCTTCTGTGTCGAGGATTAGGCTCAAATCTTCATCGAATATCGGTTCGTTAGGTCTGACATAAGCTGACACTATTTTTAGTGTTTCGTTGTTGGCCTTTAGTCTTACTAGCGTGGCTTCCATTGTGACCAGTCCACCTGGTGTTGGGATGTGTTCATGTTCTATGCCTTTTTTAACTAGTATGGCTGTTCCTCCTGATCTTGCTCTATGGTCAGTTCTATAGATATCGTAGCCTGGAAATTTGGTTTTCTTCCTTTCCACTAGTTTCGTTTCTTGAAGGGCTACGATATCGAGCTCTAATCTATTTATCATTTCGTCCAAAAGGTTGAGTTTTTGGAAAATTCCACCGGAATTCCAGGACCCTATGCGTAGATCTTCCGTATGGTTCGCTAACATTGTCGATTTATTTCACCGAATGCAGTCATCATTTTTGTGGCCCTATCCATCACGGACATCATCTCCATCATTTTCTTATTGTATTCCGTCTGGAATGTGGCAATGAGTGCGGCTGCGTCTTGCATCGTTGGGGCCGCTTGTTCTGGGGTTTTCTTGGCTGCTTGTGCGTAGCTGAAACCCGTGGTTGTTGTTGTTGGGTTGAGTGGTCTGCCCGCCGGTTTTACGGGGGCAGGGGTCTTCTTTTTAGGAGCTTTTGAGCATCCTCTGTAATTGGCCGTATGCGCCTGTTCGCAGTTGGCGCATTTTGGAGCCGTTTCTTTGCTTTTTCCGCACTCATTGCTGAGATGGTTTTCACCACACCTTACACATCTGGAGTCGCAGTGGCAAGCCTTTGAACTGTGGTAATAACCCTGGCAGTTGAAACACTGTAGGGTATCTTTTGTGGTCTTGATTTCGTCTTCGAAACGAATCTTCATGTAGCACAAGTTTGTTATTTTGCGTATTTTTTGTATGTCATCCTCTTTGAGGGTGATCATAAAGAAAGGCAGTATTGGTTTTCCCTCTTTTTTAGAGTACATGTTACTGACTCTAGTTACGTCGACATCTTTATTTCTTAATTCATTAAGAATAAGTTCGGTGCTTGTGCTCGCCGCTAGCCCTTTTAGGATTACCCTCTTTAATTTGTCGCTGTCTATCGGGTAGGCAACGTACTCTACCTTCGGGGTGTGTTCTTCAAGTATTTTGACTACTCCTAGGTAATCTTCCCTAGTTTTGGTGTTAATGACAATAGATCTGCCAGATCTGGCAAACTTATTGTCAGAAACGATACCTTTCTTTGCTGCTTTTTGCAGGATCGCTTGATGTTCTGCGACCGTCTTTAAGATGATCGCAGGAGGTTTAGGTCTCTTAACGTTAACCTCTGCAGGTATCTGAGGGTCAACGACGTTTTCTTTATCAACTTGAGGTTCTTTCGGTACCTCCAAGTTTTTCTGGGCTTTTTTCTGCTCACTTCTTTTTTGTATTTCTTTAGCAGCTTTTGTGAGCGCTTCATCTTTTCTTTCGTTGATTTTCTGAGTTTGTTTCTCAACAATACTCAGTGCCTTTTTCGGTTTCTCGCTACTGTTGACTGATTTCTCAGTAGCGGTGCCTTTTGTTTTTTCCTTTTTTTGGACTTTTGTCCATCCTGCTTCGCTTTTTTCTTTTTCTTGTATTACCTTCTGTTCTTTTGGCTTTCCTCCGCAACCAGACGTAGAAGGGGCGGCGATTCCCATCCAGGGTGGGCTTCCTGGTCTGGTTATTTCCCAGATGACTTCGTCTCTTCTCTTTTCTTCTAGCTCTTTCCTTTCATTTCTTTCGGTCAGAGCCATTATATGGCCGACCAGCTTCTTGATTTCTTCGTCCTTTGCCTTGTTTTCTTTCCGTAACTCAGTCATCTGAGTTAGGAGGTCTTGTATTTGGGCATTTGCTTGTTTTTCCCTTTGACGGCTCTCTTCTTTGAGCAGTCTGATCTGTTCGGTCAGTAGATCTACCGACTTATAGAGCTCATTTTCGTCTTTTTCCTTTGTTCTTTTTCTTTCTTCCTCGTCTTCTGAGGAGTCTGCGGTTGGCCTTTGCCGTTTTTTTCTTCCTACCTACCTCCGGCTCGGCATTAGTTGCGGTGGAGATGATGTCCACTATGGGGGCTATTTCATCGTTTGTTGGGGGCGGGGCTACAATCGACTCGGTGGCCGGGCTCAGCTCTTCGTCGAGGGTAACTTCCATGGTGATCGAGACGCTGTCGTCTGTTTCCACCTCGCTTTCGTCCTCTTCGGCATCTTCTTCGTCCGGGATGAACGATTCGTCGTCTGAAGTCTCTACGATTAACGCGGATTCGGGTTTTAAATTTGAAGTAAATTCATTATATAATTTAATTGCAGATGTAACTGACGGGGTGGGTGACTTGGAATTGTCATCATCATCTTTTTCTTGTGATGTCACCTGCGTGACATCACTTTTTTGGGGAGAGGGATCACTCATAATGCCGTAAGGCAGTGAACATAAGTGTTCAAAAGACTATATTGAGTTTGCTACTCTGAAGACTCTGTTTTTGTCTTTCCGCCTGGCCGCTGCCTGACGGTTTTCCTGGGTGTCGTCCCAGCAACCTCTCGGTAGTTCTCTCCCTGATTTCTCAGGGAGGGATCCTCTTCAAGTTTCTCTCACCTCAGAGGCAGGGGCCGTTTCTGTCCGACCTAGATTTCAAAACTAGGCCTTACAGTGTCATACCTGTCGACCCACTGAGATGAACCCGTATTTTTCGCTGACACGAAGCTATTAAAAGCCTCCGCGAGGAGCCTATAAAGGCAACCCCTCGGCGGTTTAACTTAAAAATAGCCCCGCATCCGCTTTTCACTTTGTTGAAGGACAAAGGCCTGTGCAAACTGGGTGTCTTACTCACCCGGAGCTAACAAGCTCCGTTGCGTTCAGGTCGATTGCCCCCACCAAAGCACGCTTCGCCGCTCGTCGCTACGCTCTTCGCTGCACGTCTGTACTGTTGAACGGCTGAGGTCCAACTGGTAAGACTCCCAATAGGGGTTGTTGCTGACCCTCAAACCTTGCCTGAACGGGTTCTATTTATACTTTAACATCTAACTAACTTTAAGATCACAACATATTTTTAACAACAGTATAACACGCAACAAATTTTGTAACTTTTTAAGGGTTTCACCCAGATATTTAGTGGCTTGACTCATGTATATAGATAAGTATTTAAGCACATTGCTTTTTCAACCTTTTCACTGAAGTGGTAATACTTATTCCAGGTATTATTACACTGATGATGGACTTTTTAGTCTGAAAACGTTCTGTGATGTAGCGCTAAAGGGTATTTTTAATTATAAAGGATTTTTAAATCAAATTTTTGTGATACATGGTATACATCCAACTATAGGAATTTCATTTTCCTTGTGGATTTTAAGATTATTACAAATTGGTGACCCTGGGCATATAAACGAAATCGACGAAGACCACAGATGAGATGGGTGGATGACCTGAAATACCATGCTTCGAGGTGGATGCACATGGCTCGAGTTAAAGAAAGATAAAGGAGCTAAGGGGAGGCCTATGACCAATATTGGATGTCTCAAGAGTAGATAGATAAATAGGCCCTTGTGATCTCCACTTTGATAATACATGCAACAAAGTGTTGCATGTATAAACAAATGACCTTGATTTCATATGGGCGCTTGTTAAAAGCAGTAAAATCTCATAACGACGTTGGTATTATAATTACAATGAAAATTCATGACAAGTTCGTCAGGACATATTTTACATATTTCGAAAAAAAAAACAGCAAGTTATATACCCTAAGTTAAACATTTACTAAATTAAACATTATTTTTTAGAGTCTTCTTTAAATAATTATCTGATAAGCTCTTTGTCTGATATCCTTACTTATTTTAATGTATTACCTCTATTCGTTTAATCGAATTGAGTCTTCCTAATGCCTGTCTTAATTTTCAAAATTTAAAAGAAAAATAACACAATTATAACTTTTGCTTCATCAAATAACTGAGTGCATATTTGTTTATAGTCAAAACAAAAACGAGATATTCAAATGTTACTTTATTTTAATGAATTTTCAGTGCTTTGGATACAGAATCAGAAAAAATAGTTCAACATGCATTGGAACGAGCACGAACAGGTAGAACGGTGATAGTGATAGCTCATAGGTTGTCTACAATTCAGAATGCAGATTTGATTGTTGTGTTGAATAAAGGAAAAATTGTAGAGGTAAGACTTTTTAATCATAAAGAGGATCGCATTGTTTACTGTAATACATTTTAGATGGGTACTCATGAATCACTGAAGAAGCTGGGAGGCTACTATTGGTCATTAGCATACCAACAACAAAACAGTCCAGCTGGATAATCTATCCGTTAATATTGTAAATAAACATATGTGTAATATAAATAAAGGTACCGTGTTTTATTGTTTATTATTTTTATTGATTTAATAACATTATAAAAGGAACAAATAAAAAAGCCTACAATTTTCTAGATACAATCAATCATAAAAACTATAAAGACTACCGAAAGAAAAGCAAGAAAAATTAACAAACCATCAGGGTCCAGTTGATAAGATTCTGGGAAGGCTTAGTCATCTATAGAATCCCTCTAACCTCCACAAGATTTTAGATAATCCTTTAGGAACATAATTGGAATTAGGGAATAAACCAACTTTCAGGTTTTTCGTGACACAACATTTTGTGACAAGAAATAGAGAAATCAAAAGTCTAGGCCACATTTAATGGGTATATATATATATATATATATATATATATATATATATATATATATATATATATACCCGGTATTTAGGCTGCACACGCCCTTCCGGTAGGGATCTATGGAGGAGTATCACCGAGCCGCAAGCCCTTATCTCTTGCCGTACTGCTTCACCATAGGCCGATCAGACACCAGCATATTCTAGTCTAAGCCGCAGATTCATTTAGAATTTTAAACTGCTGCGTTAGCCTTTTTGTTTTCTGTACACCGAGCTGGGGATCGAACTCACATTACTCGCATCGAAGCGAATGAGAAGCCGGCCGCCCAGCCCACTTGGCTATCTGAGATACGACCAATTAATGGGTTTAACGGAACAAAAAAAAACTATATAAATTATAAATAAGTCTACTGCCATTATCATTATTATTGGTGCTACACACAAGACTACACTATAATTCACGGCCTAACTTTCGCGTGATTGGTTGGTGGGTGGGTCCCAATTTAAAAATTGGCGAGTTTCATGTTTATTAAAATGACAATTGAGGTATTGTGGCACAGTATATCGCTAAAGAATTTATTAGCAATATATTGTGGTATTGGTACAAAGCGGATGATATTCATATTTTAGGATTAAGCTGGCTATTACAGTTTTATTAGAAATTAATAATTATTTTTCTGTTGACATTATATAGGTAAAATTAAATTCTAACTTGTGTTTATTTTATCTTGATATGCTAGTGATGCTTTTTTTTATTAGATATATAGATATTGTTTTAATTTTTTTGATTAGGTAATTTTTTATTAAGATTTAGAGGTTCCTCTTATTATTTTTATTTCTAGAACATTCATTAACATTATTATTCTCATTAGCTTTCTCTATGTGGAATCGGCTTCTTTAATATTTTCCTCTAAACTTTTCTGTTTTCTTCCAGGGACTAAGTACCTCTCCGCTTTTTGTATGAGATTATGGTTTTTCAGAAACATGCAATTTCTGTTCATCCCATTTTTTTACTGCCCTACATTCAGTACCATACATCATAGCTGGTCTAAAGGCGGTCCTATACAACTTACCTTTTAGTTTTCTTGGTACCTTTTTTATCACACATCACTCAATTTGCCTCTTTTCTTTACCTTTAATTGAAATATGATAGATAAAACGGTAATACCGATCCTAAAAGTCGAACATTATCATCTTTTATGAGTTATTGTCTATTCAAGCCAATTACTCTATCTGGACTTGAAATTTCATCTTTAAAAGAATATTCTAAATATTTTGTTTGTATCCAACTTAATTTTAATCATTTTTCTTCAAGGACATGTCTCCGCTACTCTAGTCTTTTCTACTAATACCCAGGAGGTTCAGTTGCTATCTAATCCAGCAGAAATGAGAATAAATATGGGCGAAACCCTGATGAAGCCTATTTTCACACACAATTTTCCAGTTTCACCAGTAATCGTTCTAACACTATAATAGTTGTATTAACCATAGTAGGTCTAACACTATTATAGTTGTTACTTGCTCATACTCCACTCACATATTCAGCCGGCACTCCTTTCCTACCTAATCTCTGCCACAGTAGGTTTCTGATAACTTCATCATGTGCTTTCTCAAGTTTAATAATACTATGTGCAAGTCTATCTCTTTCACTCTAAATTGTTAAATTAGCTGTCGTTTAATAAAAATTGCTGTTATAGACCTGCCTTGCCTAAATCCAAATTGACATTTATCCATTTTCATTTTTTAGAACCTTACACTGAATTCTGTTAGATTTCACCACAAATGTAGGATAATAAAAAGATATATTGTGAATTGAGTGCTATGAAAAATTGTGATTAATATTGTTCTGAAGCTATTTTCTTGTGGCATTTTAAATTAATTACTATTTAACTGGGAATAAGCCACAATTAAAGGTAAAGATACGTTTATTGACGTTTTAATTCACTTCGGAATCGTTCTTATTAAATTATTAATTTTAAATCGTTACATTATTTTTGTTACATATAGTATATGAAAATTCATATAGAAAGCAAAGAAATAACTAATAATAAATAATAATAATAAATTTTAGAACAAAACGGTATACACACTTTAGATAACCTCAATAGAAATGATGACATATTAGCAACAGTTGTCAATCTATCAAATAGACATTTAAATGCAACGGAGAATTTAATACTGTCAAAAGGAGGACGATTTCCGAAGTGGAAATTGAAACGTCAATAAACATATCTTTACCTTTAATTGTGCTTATTTCCAGTTAAATAGTAATTAAAAATTGTCGTTGTCAACAAAATGAAGCACAGAGGTTAACTGGAAATAACTATTGCAAACCAAATAAAACACTAAATAGCTATGTTTAAAATGTCTTTATTCTTTATTAAAAATCTGGGAAATCAAAGGAGGGGGGCGTTATTGGTGCAATGGCGAAAGAAAACCCCTCTAAACCTCGCCTAGGGCCCAGTACATCCCGATTTAAAATACAATTCTTATATAAAAGTCTACAAATAGCTTTATAGCATCATACTTAACACAGCTTTAAAATTCAGGCCTAAGCTAAGCATTTATACATATATTTTATGAAATTTTACTAAATATATTACTAATCAAGTAAACATATAATAATGTTAAATCTTTCTTCAACTTTCTTGTAAATAAGCCTATCAAACTATAATAAAAATTCTGTGCCACAATACCTTAATTGTCATTTTAATAATAAACATGAAACCCGCCAATTTTTAAATTGGGACCCACACATGGTAAACTTCGACCTTCACATCCTTATTCCTCCCGTCCCTCGGTCAGTCCTACTCTGTACAGCTTGGTGCACATCATTACTCTACCTTAACGTTCATCTAGTTCCACCGGCTTTGAAAATAAAATGCGTTGTGTAGATTAGCTTTCCTTTGCTCTGCCTAGATGTCCTGCCCATGAGTCATCACCACTACATTGAAAATTCGTTATACCAATCAAAGCAGTTATCGAAATGAAAGAATTCCTCCTCAGTCTGCTATCTGTGTGGTTTTACTTTTCATAATGAAGGACATTTTTCAGAAAATAAATGTGTCGAGCCGCTGCGGTAATTGTTTTTTTCACACTCACAAGTAATAGAAGCTTCCACTTAGGATTCTAATTATGTTTACTGGAATCTAATAATGGTAACAATTTTTTCACAAAGTTTGAATAGAGAATAAATACAAACAAGTATGTTTCTGATTTTTAGATACTATGAGAAATTAAAATGAGGAACAAGAAGGTGCATTGGGTTCGAGAGAAAATTATGAGAAGCCGAAAATAATATATTAAATATTCTCTTGTGACTCCTATCCGAGTACATATATTTGTCTTCTTCTTATATTATACATTACGTCAATTCTTGCCCGATCTTCAGGATGTAGTCGTATTCGTGACGACTGCCATCTAGATCACCACCTTTTAAAAGGTATTCATGATGACTGGTTGGTCCTAAATCTCTTGATATTATGGCTAGTTTCCCACTACCCATTAGTGTAACATGCTGGTTCCAGTTCCGTCTTCATCATTGTATAATATCTGTATTTTACAGATATCTCTTGTTTGATATTCTGTTTCTTAATGCTAGAAATTGATCTCAAGGTTCTCATTTCTGGTGCTCTCTTTGTTTCTCGATTTTTCTTTAGGTATTAGAATTTCGAGACTAGTTCGATTATTTCCTCGTTAATTACTATTTTCCATAGTTTGAGTTCTCTCTTGTTTTATTGCCGTATTGTCAGATTCCAGTAAGAGCCTAAGGAGGTATCCATTGAATTCTGGCAGGCAACGGTGGTGGAAATCCTTTTTAGACATCTAACGTTATAGAGCAAGACACCCTGACATCTTTCGGCTGAGTAGGATACTGGTCAGAAGACCCCAGAGTAGTGCCGGATTAACCGTGTTCCGGCCCAAACATTAACCACCGTTCCAAAGTAGTGGTCTTTCCACTCCTTGAACGACTAAAACCATACGTTACTTTAAAAGAAGAATAACTATGTTATATTAAGAAAAAACTTACAAATAACCAGAACTATCACCGTAAGTCAGAAAATATTTCCATGAGACCGTAAACTAATAAATAATTAACCATAAATTTTAGATCCCTGTTTCAATTTCCTCCTCTGTCCTCCTGCTCCTTCTTCATCACCCCAGAAATCAGACCATTATTTCTCTCCTCCCATTATTATGTTTACCATGATTCTTTCATCCAGCCCGAAACCATTCGCCTCTCGAAGTCTCCCCTCTCATTTGCCCATCTCTGGTAGTTAAAATGTGGACAGGAGCGTCCGGTACTCCACAAATGGTACAGTCTGCAGAGGCGATTGCCTTTTCTATTCGTGAAGGTGCCAAAACTAGTAGTCTAGTTTCCTGAACTTACATTCCCACCACGCCCTCAGATCGGGAATTAGCTCATTCGTCCACCTTGCCTTTCCGTTATCATTTGCCCATTCTCTCTGCCACTCCACTATCGTTTTCCCTCTCTCACTCTCATCTATATTTCCATCCATCCTCCTCGCATACACCGTCGCTCGCTCTTTCCACAACAAAACTATCGGTATCACCTCTCCAATGACATACAGAACCTCATTTGAAACCGTCTTGTATACGCTAGATACCCTGAGGAGCGTTCGCCTTTGCGAAGTCTCCATCAGCTTGGCTTCTTTCGAAGTGTTCAGTGTGCTGCACCACAAGGGACAACGTAGGTTACCACTGACTGGAAAACTCTATTTAACATCCGTCTTTTGGTGCTAACTGGGCCTCCAATATTTGGCATCAGCATCAACACCTCCAGACTTCGGTTCGCCTTCTCTACCGTCTTTTGGATGTTTACTCCACAGCTCAGTCGTTCCGACAACCAGACCCCGAGATACTTAACAGATTTAACCGGTGCAACCTCCACACCTTCCACTATAAAGCGAAATGAGGATTTGTCCCGGCTCCTTTGGGAACTACCATCTTAGTTTTCTGAGATCGTTCTCTCTTATCCACCTACTAATACGATGCAGGGCTGTGTTAGCCGCATTAGCCATGTCCGTTTTCTGACTCACCTTAAGATCAGCTACAAGTGTGCATCCCCTTGGCATCTGTAGCCTCAACCCGTCGTACAGGAGATTCTACAGGGTGAGACCTAGTACTGAACCCTTCTACAAAATGGTGCTGTTATCTTTTTCTCTTATGGACCTGTCAGTAAAGTATCTGTCAATTACGTTGACCAGGTACTCACTAACGCCCAATTCTCGCTCCAATGTCTTTGATACCTTTCTTTTCAAGCACATGGGAATATCTGATCTAAAGACTTCCCTCAATTTTCCGTAAGTTGCCCATGTTAGTCCTATTCTCCTGTTTAACTCTGTTGTTTGTCTCTTCGTAATTTAATCTCGTGTCCCAGATACTTTTAGGCATAAACTTGTTCAATATGCGTGCCGCTATTAGCTAAAATCTTTTTGGTCAGTATAAGGTTGGTCCTTTATTGTGTTTTGGAAAAGTGGGGAGGAGAGTGTCGGTTTAAAATTGCACAGGGGAGTCCTATTCTTTAATCATATAGAAAGTAAAAAAAAATTAAATTATATTAGGGGATTTAGAGTTACCTTTGCTATGCATATCCTAAGACAAACAGTGTACTGTAGGGCACCCGTGCTGGCTAGTCCAACCGATTTTCCATGTTGCACTTTAAAAAATATAGATTGTACTTTCGGATAAAATAGCGTGAACAAAAGACGGTGTCTACACGTTACTACTATTAACACATAAGTAATAGTATTCCAAAAGTTGCTCTAAGTACTAATTCTATGACTCATAATTTCTGCTGAGTTTACAAGGTCGAGTACAGGTCTTTCTATTGTAATCACATATCGTATTCACATATTATAATTTATGTATATGACATTGTATTCAGAAAAACCTTGTGTAGGATATTCCACAACAGACGAGAGATGGACTAAGATTTAAATTATACAGTGCAAACCATGGAACCACAAACAAAAACAGTGAAGATAGTTGACATAAATTATATTAATTACAACTCTTTATTTCCTTAATTATTACAAAATTCATATTATTTGTAAATATTGTCTAAAATCCACTTTAAAAAGTATGGTACGTTTGTATAGACTGCAGGGCCTGTACCACATTTTTTTAATCCATATGAAACCACACCTACAACATTTAATAGTTATTTACTACGTAAAATTAATACCTTCTTTACAAAATAAGAAAAGGAAAGTGGTACAGTAACAGTAAAAAAAGCGAAAAACGACATAAAATCAACGGTAGCTAAATGCATCGGAGAGAGTAATCCATGGAAATAACATTATTATATTAGTCAACGAGCATGTAATGCTGGCTTTTACTCACGGTTATTTAGTCTGCTAAACGAGCCGAAGGCGATTCATCAAAGTGAGTAATAACCATTACATGCGGGTAGAATACTATACTTTTCTACGACCTTCTTTTTTTTTATTAGTAAAAAATTATTCTACTTAGTATTATATACTCACCGGTACGAAAAACGAATACCCTTTAAATTTTTGATACAATTGTCGAAGCAGACTTTATTTTTTGTGGTAACTTTAATCAACGATTGACATATTCTGATATATGGTTTTAAGGTATGTTTTAGACAGAAAATGCGTACGAAAACCTTTTATTTGCAGAGAACGATACAAAGTTACAAATAAATACAAAAAAATTAAATAAAAGTGGTATGTATTGGTAAAATAATACAAAACAAATTGGTACATATTTAATTATCTTTAGAAACAACATAAAAATAACAAGAAAACGTTTACTGATTACTTTTCAATCGAATTAATTTTTCTTATTAGCTCCATGAGCCTGTATAGGGGCATTCATTCTTCTGGACACACTGTTAATTAAGGATAAAACTCCATTCTGTGGAATTTGTTTCTATTCCTCTAAGAGTCCACTTTGAGTTATTCTAGGGTAAGAGGAGCAAGTACCTGGCTTCGAATACTTGTAACTTCTATGTACCTATCAGCGATCAGAGATCCCCTAGGGACAACATACAATTCTGTAGATATTTTCCGAAGATATAGCAGCCCGCATCATAACTGAACACTCTTGAAAACTTACTCTAGTGCTAAAAGTACACTCGGCATATCGTTTACCATCACTTCTCCAGATTATTTCGCGACTCTCTGGGGAACGTAGACAACATCTGCACTCATCAGTACACATAAAATTTCTCCAGTCGTCAGCATTCCAATCGCGATGCTCCCTAGCAAAATGTAATCTGAACACGATGTTCCCTGGAAAGTTTTAATACTGCAGCGGGTATTTGAGGATTCAAAGTAGCCTCATTTAACAGTCGTCTAACGGTTAGTTCACTAACATTTACGTTTCTGACATGTTGAAGAATGTTTATACCCTTTATAGCAGTTGAATGGCGATTTTTTAGTTATGTAGACGCTATAAAACGGTCGTTCCGATAAGTAGTTCTTCTTTGGAGACCTGTTCCAGGAAGTCCGAAGTAAAGTCCTGTCTCTAAAAACGAGTAAATATACGTTGCACTATACCAGCGTGAAACGCCGTATGTGTCAGCTATATAAACTTCCTTCCTGAATAAGAGCAACAATAGATACTGCAACAATTTCTGCACTCAAAGGCATCTTAAAATTGACAATAATTAACACAATCACCATAATAATAAAGACTTTTGACATTAATAAATAGAAATGACATAGTAAAACAATAATTGAAAGTTGCACAGCCTCCTTGTAAACACTGACGATAACTTCAACATTATTGATATTTTGTTACAATCTGAAAAATTTCAATATAAAAGACATTTCTCGTTAAAAACTATCTGTAGGGATTTCTGCTAAACCGTGTTCATTGCTTGGAAAATTTTTTAAAAGAACCGAAAAAAAATCAAAAGATCAGAGCATTTTTGTGTAACAGAAATTATAAGGGTGGCCGCTTTCGTGACTAAGAGTATGACGAAGTTTTCTTTCAATAGTAGAATGCATGGAATCTGCCTCCATCTGCGTGTGTCCTTTTTCGAGAAACTTTTGCTCAATCGTAATTTCTGATTCCATACATAGGTTTAGAAGAACGGTGGCTAATGTTGAATTCCTGTTTTGGGATGTATAACCATCACTGTAAATTATAATTTTTTGATCACGCTGATCTTTCGTGACAAGATCTTTGAGAAAGCTGTAAATTATTGAGGCATAGTCATTGGCGGTGGTACCGCCAGAGGCCTTATGCCATAGGTAGCAATAGCCATCTTTATTTTTCATATCGAAAAATGTTAGATTATGTACTATCAGTTTAGTCTTAAAATATTGCGAGGAGATGTTTGTCTTTAGTGACAGTAAAACTAATTGTAAATCCATACATAATAGGGTATTTTCTGACTCCTTATCTCGATTTTTTGCCTCTCTGGGACGGTACAGCGAGAGGTTCATTTCTTCAAATACGTGTGAAAATGAAGCAATTGATAATGAACCCATTTGTTTTACTTGACATCAGCTCGTATAGAACTGAAATTATTCTGCTTTGGATTTCCAGTTGGGCTCCAAACAAAGTTTGTTAGATGATGACCGGCAGTAGTGTAACTCAACTTTTGACAGCTCAGAAAAAAACTTCCTTAAATTTTCTGTCATGTCCTTGTAACGCACTGTATGCATTGTGATTTTATTGGAATTATTGTCGTCAGTTTTTGTTTGACTAGTCGCTTCTTTTCACAACCAGTCAAGTCCATGTCCTCCTTCATACAATGTGTGTTTAAAAACATCTGCTTACAAACTCTAATAAGTTGACCTTCCTTCTTCATGTAGTAAAGCATAGACTCCTTTTTTCTTGATGTTGTTGCATTTTGCCTATTTCTAGTTGAGTTTACTAATGAGGATACATACATTTTTTCTCTCGCTCCAGTTCATATTAGACCAAAATTTCGTAAATATTGCTTTCCTATCGTCCTCAGAAAACGTGTTGCACTTAATGACGGTATTTTTTTTGAAAGTTTACAGTTACAGGACTCTTTCAATCTTCTTTCTTCTCTTTCTATATTATAATCCCATCGGCCATTAATTTTTCTTTTTTCCAAATAAGCTTCTCCTTTTTCACGGTTTATTTTCTTCTTATTTTCGATCCAATTTTCTTTATTCACAAGGTGCCTTTTCATTCTTCTTTTTTCTAGTGGGCCATCTTTATTTTATTCCGCTCCTTGTGCTGTTTTTCTTTCATTGTTAGTATCTTTTTTAGAAAAAGTCGACGATTCTTGATCACTTTCCGGTACATAATCAGGTTCATCTTCAATCTCATCACCATTTTGAACTTCTGTTTTCATATTTTTTTTAACATCTAACAAGCTATTACTTTTAGAGGGTAATAATATCACGTCCTCATCATTCTGTGGTATATATTTGGAATGATTTTCAACTTCACCTTCATCCTGAATTTCCATTCTTACATTTTCCGCAATTACTTTTGATGAGCTAAGAATGTTATTTTCAAACTCTAAAGTAACATTTTCTTCAATTGGAATGCAAAAATTGTTTAATACTTCATCTACTAGGTTACTTTCTGGCAAAATTTGGTCAGAGTTCATTTTCATCATGTCTGTAATTTCTGGAATATCCAATAGTAACATTTCATCATCAACGTCACTAGAGATAAATTTTTGAAAAGGTTTTTCATCATATGAAGAAAACAAGTTTGTTACATCACATAGGGTTTTCTCATTATTAATGGTTTCATTCTCATTAGTAATGTGATTTCAGCCAGGTATGGACTTACGGATTTCGCAGATTTTATCGCAGATCATTTAAAGAATTTTTGGAGTTACTGAAATTTCTTAGACAAATTCACTAATTTTTTTTGCGAACGATGTCGTTAATGTAACTAACACATCCACGACGGAAGCTAAGCTACCTGAGGAAAGGAATTCCAAACATTTAGAACGTTTCAAACAACAAGAAAAGGTTAATGCGAGTTAATAGCAAAATAAAGTTAGTAGGTATCGGTATGGCTCGCAACAGCCAACAAAATATATAATAAAATATGTGTATAAGATGGAAGGTAATCGTATATGCGTATTTCTGATTATTGGTCGTCTTCAGTATGGTGCAGCCAAGTAGAAAAGAAGCATGTTAGGATCACTACAGGAGAAATGCAACCAATTTGTGGCAATAATTTTAGAAGACTGGGGATTCCAGAGCATCAACTCACACATCCACGGAGGAAGCTAAGCTACCTGAGGAAAGGAATGCCAAACATTTAGAACGTTTCAAACAACAACAAAAGGTTAATGCGATTTATTATCAAAATAAAGTTAGTAGGTATCGGCAAAGCTCGGAACAAAGGAAAAAAATATAATAAAATATAATAAGAAATCAAGGCAGATACGAGCTACTCCAATGCATTTTGCAAGGTAAAATTAAAGGAAAAGGGGCCCAGGACGAAGAAGAATATCCTGGCTAGCTAACCTGAGAGAATGGTATAGAAAAACCTCAACACAGCTATTCCGAGTAGCAACCAACAAGGTCATCATAGCCAGAATGATCGCCAACGTTCGGAACGGACAGGCAAACCTAAGAGGAAGAATAATATGGAAGGAAACCGTATATAAGTATTTCTGATCGTCTTCAGTACGGTGCAGCCAAATGAGAAAAGGAGCATGTTAACTTGGAAAAGGATCACACAAGAGCAATGCGACCAATTTGTGGCACTAATGTTAAATGACTGAGGAATCCAGAGCAATAACTAACACATCCACGGAGGAAGCTAGGCCACCTGAGATACTTAGGTACCTTATACATATATTTTATTATATATTTTTTCCTTTGTTGCGAGCTTTGCCTCTACTATCTCAAAACACTTTTAAGAAGCTATTTTGAGAATGATTTCCAAAGTGGACATTGAAACGTCAATAAACTTATTTCAAACTTCAATTTCGGCTTATTTACATTCCATTCTCTTATGTAATTCCTCGATCCTGCTTCTTTGTAATTCTGGGCCCTCTTCGTCATTTTCGTATACCTGTGTTCCTACGCACCTCGTAGTTGTCACTACAGTTATTTTTGTTTGTTTCCCTATTGTTGTTGTGCATCTTCGTATACTTTCCCTTTTCTCAATATCCTCTATAGCTCTCTAACCTTTCTTTCCATTTCGCACCAAATCTGCTGAACCTTTGCGGCTCCCTGTTTGATGTAATTCCTTTCTCTGTCTCACTTCTTTTTAAATTGATTTTACTTTCATTCTTATTTCAACCAGCTCCTATGTCTTTCTTTTCGTGCGATCCTAAGGGCCGCCCTTAGCGTTCTCTGTCAGAACCCCATTACATTAGATATTTCAGTTTGTTGGATGCACGACTATTTTATTGTGCCCTGTGTATCATTGTACTCCAGTTTGTCGCACTCAAAAACTGGGAATCAGTAAAATATCACGGTATACAACTTAAACAACATACTCACCTAAGTGCCCTATTAGTTGCAGATGACAAATCACAAATAGTACCAGAAACGGAAGACATACAACAACTAACAATATATTGGTTAAACTAAATGTGTATGTAATACAACCTCAAAAACTACTTAGTAAAACGAAATTCATGACATTTAAAAGCAAAATATTCCGTGCGATCTAATAATCGTTGTTAAAAGACCAATAGAGCAACTGTCACATTTTAAATGCTTCTTTATACAATACCGATATGTATTTTTTATATGGTATATACTTACCTATAAGAAAATATTTATCCTTAGATTCTTTACGTTTCCACATCATTGGTCCGCCAGAATCTCCATTACAACTATCTTCTCCTGCTGATACTCCTGCACAAAATTGGCTCTGGTCTAAAGTTGTATTAAATATTTCATTGCATATCTCTCTTTCTCTAACAGGTACTGTTATGTATTGTAAATCCTTAGTAAGATGTCCTGATGTATCCAGTCCCCAACCGGCTATATCTACATTTTCGCCAATAAATTCTTTATTCAACATATTTGCAGTAGGTAAACAAATTGGTTGAATTGCAACTATAAAAGATGATTATTTATTACATTTTTTTTAGTTCGATCACTCGAATAGTAAAAAATAGTAAAAAGTCAACAACTTAATGGATCAAACTGCCTGCGTATGATATAGTAAGTAAATATAGTCGGTTTCCAATGAATAACTCGGTCCGTAGTTTTAGAACATAGTGATTAAATCTTGCTATAGATGAAGATATCTCTAAATTTCGCAGTTTATTCGCATGGTTATAAAACATATGTACATGTTAAGTACAATTTGTGGGTGCATTTGATGGGATATCATTTTGTTTTTAATTTATCAAGTTAGCATGTGTATAGCAACATGGCCATAGCCATATTTGTCTACAGAGTCATACAGTTAGTAAATTTGTTCATATCTGTGAAAAAGAGGACCTGAATATGCCATATCAAAGTCGTGGAATGTTGAACAAAGAAGTTACAGCTAATGCTTTGTAGCATTAATTAATACAGCAATGATTAACTTTCCTACAGCAAGATGTACTTTGCGAAGATATCTAATAAAGCATAAAAAATAGTTACAGTGAAAATCCATCTTTACAGGAGCACAAGCAATGGAAGTTCTTCTTCTAGTCACGTATACTTCCAGCGCGTTGTGATAAACCGTCTATCTTATTCATCGCTACATTTCGTCGTCTGCATTGAAAATCACACACCAGTCTCGGATATTGTGTAATACTCAATGTTGTTTTTTTCTAGGTCCCCTCTCACCATCCACTTTACACTGAAGTATGAGCTGATATGAAATATCGTGAACCTCTTAACTGCCATTCTCTATCTTCATCAAACTTTACCCATACACTCCTAGGTGTAAGTCCCTCTTAATTGCTCTTATCTTTCCCTATCATACGCCAATCTCGTCCACCATTTACTCACTAATACTTTTTATTATCATAATTGGCTTAGAGAAGTCGATCGAGTTAATATCCAAGAACATTAAGTTTTCTCTATGAATGTGATAAACTATCTATATTATATTCTAGTGACTTTTCAAAAATTTATTTTGGTGTGTGTATTTGGTGTATAGTTGATTTTCCGGCAGCGAATGTATAGCTATATAAAGTGTTTAAGTCTTTTAAAAATTACATTGCCAAATATTTTATATGCGGGTATTAACAGAGTAATGCCTTTTCTTCTTCTTTTTTCTTAGCTGTTCACTTTTCAGGGGTGTCTGTTCCTTATTCTTCATCGCCATTCATTTCTCTCCTTCTTTACATAAGCATTTCTCTCAATATCTTTGCCCCACAATCCTTCGATCTTCTCCTCGGTTTTCCTTTACCTCTCATCAATTTCTAACACCTCTATCTATATAATTTTCATTTCTCTTTGTCAGTGTTTGTTTTTGAATCTGTTTTGAGACTGTAGCCACTTTTCCATCTTCTTTTCCTGGATCTTCTTTACAGGCCACACTTCACCGCCATACACCAACGCAGATCTCACCACACTCTTGTATATCTTTCCTTTTAGCCCGTCCCCGATTTTTCGATTACAGAGTACCCCGTTTATTCGCTTCCAGTTATACTAACCAACCTGTATCCTGTGGGCAATTTCTCGATATAATGTCCCATTTCCTATTATGTAGGAGCCAAGGTCCTACTTGTCCTACATATTCTCCTACTAGTCCTAGGTTTTCTATGAGCAATTCTATGTCACCAACAATTCCTCTTCCTCCCAATCATATATACTCCGATTTCGACCTGCTAACCTTAAGTCCTCTCTCTTCAATTGTCCTTCTTTAACACTACAACTTCTTCTTCAACATGTTTTTGCTCTCCTTTACTGATACGATATCTTCAACAAAGAGCATTGACCAATAAGCCTTCACCTTTACTTTCTCTGTTAGCACATTCATAACAAGATTAAACAGCTAGGGACTCCGCCAGGAAGACCTGCTACAAGATAGAAAACATACAGGGTTTCCCAATAGGGACGTCCTGTTTTTGAAATGTCTTAGCGGCCATTTTGAAAATGATGGAACTGTCACTTTTTGACGTTTGTATTTAGTATACTCTAACAAATTACCATGGCAAGATATACGCTTGAACAACGTTTGGAAATTATCCTAAAATTTTATGCTAATAATCGTTCTTTTGTGAATACCTATCGTGCATTACGTGAAAGTTATGGACCAAATGATCGTCCTGATGTGCGTGTAATTCGTCGAATCGTGGAAAAGTTTGAACGTGAATTTACTTTGCAGGACACAAAACCACCAACTAGACGCCGAAATGCAAAAACTCAGGACAATATTGCTGCTGTAATAGCCAGTGTAGCGGAGAATGCAAATGTGTCCGTAAATCGTCATTCTCAGGAACTTGGACTCGCCAGAATGACAACTTGGCGAATTCTGAGAAAAGATTTAGGCCTACACCCTTACAAGATTGTTCTGACTCAAGAACTGAAGCCAGTTGACCATCATAAGCGTCGTTTGTTCGCTGATTGGGCTCTAGACAAACTCGAAAATGATGGCGATTTTTTCAAAAAAATAATCTTTTCCGATTAAGCTTATTTTTGGTTAAACGGCTTTGTGAATAAGCAAAATTGTCGTTTTGGAGTGAAAATAATCCACATGAGATTCTTGAGAAACCTTTGCATCCAGAAAAAGTCACTGTGTGGTGTGGTTTATGGCATGGTGGCATCATCGGACCTTATTTTTTCGAACATGGTGTAACAGTTAACGGTGAAAGGTATCGAACGATGATAACGGATTTTTTGTGGCCTCAGTTGGATGAAATGGATTTGGATGGCATGTTTTTTCAACAGGACGGTGCCACATGTCACACTACTGCCCCAACCATTGATTTATTGAAGGAAAAGTTCCCGGAAACATTGATTTCTCTTGATGCCAGAGATCCCAGGAGAATTCAGCAACTTCGACCAGATGCTTGGCCTCCAAAAAGCTGCGATTTAACATCATTGGATTATTTTTTATGGGGCTATCTTAAGTCATTGGTCTATGTGAATAAACCACAATCCATTGAAGACTTGAAGAGGAATATAGAGTACACCATTCGTGAGATTAATGCGGATATTTTGCATAAAGTGACCGAAAATTGGGTTCATCGGATTCGCTCCTGCAAACGTAGTAGAGGGGGACATTTGAATGATGTGTTATTCAGAACATAATTGTTATCTATTATATTTTGCAATAAACTTTTCTTTTTTTGATTTACAGCAATTTTTACCGTTTCGTTAAAAAAAACATCAGGACATTCTTATTGGGAGACCCTATACATTGGAAATGCTATGATATATTGAAACCTCAGGGTAGATGACTGCGAAAATAGAGTGCAGTGGAAAACGAAAACTGCGAACTCGCAATGGGAAAAGCCGAAGAAGGAAGAAAACATATACATTAGAAAGTCTGTAATTTTTATTTGTTTTATTTATTATTGACATATTATTTAGACTCGAGTAACATACTTACCAATATATTTAACTGATCTAGCCAACCTAATTAATGCAATATCATTATCATCACCCATGACTGTGTTAAAATTTGGATGTACAGTAATATTTGCTACTTTATAATCTTTATTTAATCTTTTCACTTTTATTTCTGGAGTAAGTGTATTTATTCCAATTCGAACGATGTTTCTGCAACAATTTTTTACTTAATGAAAAATTTGAATTATAGAGTTTGGTATGCAATACCTACATATCTTTTCGTAGGCATAGCTCCATTTACTTAAATATTAAAAAACTGAATACATACATGTAAATAACTAAATACATTATATACCTACATGCAAACGGTGTACATATTACGAAACATTACGTATGTATAGAAAGTAATTACTATATTAATAGGAATAAGTCATAATTGAAGGTAAAAATAAGTTTATTGACGTTTCAATCTTCACTTCGGAAATCATTCTCAAAATACGAAGAATATCGTGTTTTCAATGTCGGAAGTGGGTCAAGAGCAAATGAAAATTACCCACCCAGACGAACTCTATTATCGGTCCCAGTGGGAAATAGGAGTAGAGGCAGACCACGACTGAGATGGAGGGACGGTGTGGACGAGGACGCAAGGAAAATCGGCGCGGCAAATTGGCAACGGTTGGCGATGAACAGAAACGACTGGCGAAATAGACTGGGGAAGGTCAAGGCTCAACTAGAGCTGTAGGGCCACTGATGATGAATGTCGGAAGTGGAGATTAAAACGTCAATAAACTTATTTTAACCTTTAATTGTGGCTTATTACCACTAAAACAGTAGTTACTTTAAAATGCCACAAGAAAATAGCTTCAGAACAATATTAATGTAAAGGTATCGATCCATTGGGAAAAATCGTAGTTAGGGTCATCATCATCATTAATAGCTCGACAACCCTTTCTGGGCCCTGTTCTAGGATTTTCCGCCATTCTGTTCTGTTCTTTGCTTTGTTTTTCCAGTTGGTAATCTTAAGTGTTTTCAGATCTTGTTCCACTTGTTCAATGTATCTAAGTTTGGGTCTTCCCTTTGATCTTCTCCCTACTGGTGTTTGCCTATTTATATGTTTTGGCGTTTCAGTCTCCAACATCCGTTCAACATGGCCCATCTAGCACAGTCGTTCGATCTTTATGGATGTTACGATCTCGGGTTCATTGTATGCTGTGTATAGTTCAAGTTATATCTTCTGCGCCATATGTCATTTTCCTTTACCCCATATATATGTGTCTAAGGATTTTTCGTTTAAATGTACCTAATAGGTTCTCATCGCTTTTCGACACTGTCCACGTCTCTGATCCATATACAAAGATTAACTTTAGGAGATCTGTAGCAAACTAAAATTGTGTGTTGATTTGAATTATAATGTCACTTCAGCCCACATACCTCAATGTCTTTTTCAACACAGTACTGATCGAGTAAAATGGAATTAACCTTCATATTATCTCTTGCCGAAACTGCAACGCCACCACATTTATATTGGGATCTACTAAAAGAATTTACAATTTTAAAATTTGGAAAACTATAATAATCACCTCGTCATTTGCTGACCACGTCTCAGTCATACAAAGAAATTTCAAATAAGATTCCTTATAATCAGCAAATAAACAATCCATTTTAAATTGATTTAGTCTCTGAATATTTGACAGTAGGAGATCGTACTCATCCCTTCCTTTTTCCTGTTTAAAAGTCAATTCTTCATACTTCACTTTATTTGCGTATGTGTTGAGCGCTTCATAAAAAACCTACTTACATAGGAGCCTACTGGCCATAGTTTTGGGTCCATCACTTTACCGAAATTTTGTTCAGATTCATATTCAGATATCAGATTCTGCAGGTTTCTTTGGCCTGTCGATTTACTGGCCTTCATGTATTTGGATTTTATTTCGTTAATGTTTAGGCCACTGTTTTGTGCCGCTCTTTATATCGCATTAAATGCTTCTATCATCTCTCTTTCGCTTCTAGCTATGATATCAACATCATCTGCAAATGCCAATATTTGTACACTTTTTGTTATTATTGTTCCTATGGTGTTGACTTTTGACTCCCTAATTATTTTCTCTAATGTGATGTTGAATAGAATACAGGATAGGGCATCTCCCTGTCGTAGGCCCGTTCTCACATGTATTGTATCTGTTAGTTCGTTTTGAATTCGAATTTTGCTTTGTACTTTAAGTGTTTCTTTTACTATATCAATGAGTTGAGTTGGTATATTAAACTCTTTCAGTGCATGGATCAGAAACTCTCGATGGATGCTATCATAGGCACTCTCAAAGTCAATGAAAAGATGATGTGTGTCTATATTAAATTCACTAGTCTTTTCCAAGATTTGCCTCAAGACGAAGATCTGATCTATTGTGGACTTCTGCCTGCGGAAACCACATTGATATCTCCCAACTATTTGTTTCGAATATGGTCCCAATCGGTCATACACAATATTTGACAGTATTTTATATGCCACAGTCAGTAGCGTTATTGCTCGGTAGTTTTTGCATTGAAGCTGATCTCCCTTTTTATGTAGTGGTATAATTAAAATAAAATATACAAGGAAAATAATTCCCGTAGCTGGCTGTATACCACGTATCACAAAAAAGAATTTATATCTTTGTATGTGGGTATATTTCAAAAACCCTTAAAAGGGCTAGATCGAATAATACAAACGTTTTCGGAATAATAATTCCATCATCAGGTTTAAAAAAGTACAAGGTTCACATGCCTGAGCCACCAAAATATGAGGGTAAAAACCGTTTAAAATATATGCTGTTACAAAAGATTGTACATAATGTCATTAAAAATATGTGATGTTTAATATTAAATTAAATTTGGCTTCAGGTAACATACACCCATGGTTTGAGTTTCAGTGTCTGGAGAGCAAACCTCTTCAAACGGACTACAGCTGGTAACTGCTATGCAGATCGAATAATATTACAATACCAGCCTGGTTTCAGAGGTGGTGAATCAACAATTCATCAGATTTCAACCCTGAGACAAATTCTAGAGAAAACACTGGAAATAGGGTAAAGACACGCACCACATATTTATAGACTACAAGGCAGCCTACGACTTTGTAAATAGAAGAGAATTATTGTTTAGAGCAATGATAGACCTAGGAGTACCAAATCAGTTGCTAAGTCTAAACAAACTAACCATTGAGAAAGTTGAATGCAGAGTACGAATCCAGGGGGAACTCTCTGAACCTTTTAAAACAAATAACGGGCTACGTCAGGGAGACCCACTCTCCTGTATACTATTCAATCTAACTCTGGAAAAAGTAATACGTACGTCACAAATGACAACTACTGGTTCAATATATAACAAATCTGTGCAAATCCTAGCATATGCTGATGATATCAATTATTGTTGGGAGAACGGAAAACGCAGCACGAGAGGCGTATTATCCGACAAGCGAGAGCTGGCGGGTGAGCTGCGCGAAAAAAGAAAAGGAATTATTCTAAGAGAGATAAGAGAGGGACTTAATCGCTGGTGTCACAAATGCGTAGGTAGTTGCCGTATCTGAAAAAATCTGTAAAAATTTAGTTAGGATCTGAAAATTACGTTAAAAGATATGTTCCGTGGTTGTGTCATTGCGTGTATAATAAACTTATTTACCTCGAAAACAAAATCAAAATAATAAAAATATTGAATAAAACGTAGAAAAAATTTGTTAGTAATATTTATTTTCATAAAACGTAATTAATTCTCGAAGGGAAGGTATTTTTGTATGGATTACGAACTGATACAACTTGTGTGTCTTAATGATTACTAAATTAAACACAACACAACACAGAACACACGTTCGTTGTTTATTTTTCTAAGCCAGACGGTAAACTCAAGTATTATCGGCCTTTTATCTTGTGATGTTATTGCTTGCAATATCATATTTCGTTTCCTATTTATGAAAAATGCAATGTATTCAAATGTATAATTAAAGTGTCCAGCATATCAATAAACATATTGGAGAAACACATTTTAATTTTTATGTCATTTCTATTTCACATGTGTATAACCAATTGCGATAATGTAAATTTTAACATGAAGAACTATTATTTAATTTTTGAAATAATTAGCTTGTCGCTACAAATACGTTGTATTATTAATAATAGTGAACTGTAAAGTACTAATTAACTGATCCATTGTTTACTTATTATTTACTGGAATTTTTTTGTTCTGTAAGTTTTTATTTATTTATTGATTATAATTTTATTTATTGTAACTTAAATTAAATTATTTAAATCTGAATTTATTTAGAAAATGAGTATTATAATTACCAGTTAATTGAGCTACATGTTCTTGTATCTTTTTTAAAGTAACTAAGACTTTATCTGCATTAGCTTCTTCGGTTGTAAAATTAAAAACATTGAAAATTATTTCTCGTGCTTGAGATACCAAAGGTTTGCCTTTTAATACACTTGCCATTTTAATAAATATAAATAATAGTTTATATTATAAGGCCACTCCAAATAAAAATGTAAATAGTTGACAACACTGTCAGAAATCTAGCACTAATTACACGATATGAACTCCTAGCCGACTGCAATAGAAATGAGCAATCTATTCCACTTTTCAATTTGTTCTACGCGCAACCCATGGTACAAAGAATGACAGGTATGATATTGCGCAGGCCACTCCCCCTACTGTCGACGTCATAATGAGAGTTCTAATACATTTGTTTATAATTTGAATTTTATCAATGTTTAAACTTTTGACGTCTTTAATAAGCTTGTGGAAGATTTTATAGTGTTTTTGTGAGAGTTAAGTTGATTTGTAGGCATTTTAGTAAACAATAATTATTATTAAGGATATATTCAACTCTCTATGCGAGTTTTTTGAGTGATCGTGGCTTTGTAGGTATACCTACTTTATATGGGCAACAATTTGGTCTTTTAGAAATTGTAAATTAGGTATGTTTAATTATTATTGAGTCAGTATTTAATACTCAACCATATCTATACCCATCTTATATTTTTTAGGGGGGTTTTGCTAAAAATTGTTTACAACGTAAACATAAAATGCGTTGTGCAGTATATAGTTGTTTAAGTGATAATCAGACAAAAGGTGCCGATAAATCTGTTAGGTTTTATAGTTTTCCCAAGGACTCGGTAGTGGAAAAACTGTGGGTTATTGCTTGTTACCGTAAAGACAAATTTAATACTAAAACTTTAAGG